TACATTTTTTAGCGTGCGCAGTGAAATAGCTCACGTTTTTATACACGCAAACCTTTGATAGATCCGGCCCAAAATCTTGATCTCTTGCTTGGAACAGCAGGTGGGCATTAGGGGCGTAGCTCTGGAGGGGTTCCCGTCATATTTGGCTGACCTATATTTTCTGCGTTAGCCTTTGGGACCATTTCCTCCTCTCTTATGCAGGAGTTGCATGTGACAATTGAAAAAATCATACAGTGTATGCCCGGCTTTAAAGAGGAGATATGGATGCAGAGGAGGAACAAGTTTGAAAGGGTGAAAAATAACTCATATTGGGGATGTGAGATATCTGGCAGAGAAAATACATAAGGAAATACAACATAATTCCTAATATTTTCTTTTGGAGCAGCGGTTTCTTTTCTGAGTAGCTGTTTTTACCTGTGTTCTTCTAGGACTAGTTTCTCTAAAGGACAAGGACACCCTTTTACAAGCTTCAGCCGTGCTAAGGTGAGCTTATAAAAGGTTTTTGTCCTGGAGTTGATTCACACATTTCACACCAAAACATATTTATCTCACAGGACCCTTGTCCTTCATTAATGCTATAGGGGATGGATAATCCCATAGTATCTATGCTGGCATTTATTGTTTAAACATGTAAAATTATATTTTTTACTAACTTTTACTATAATTTTAAGGATGAAAAGGTTGCTTTGCACCTATTCAGATTGAAAATCACATTTTATTTGAGTAACATTTCCAGGTTTTTTATTACGGTTCTTAACTAAAACAAAATAATTAACAAAAACCAGGCTATGGCAGACTAATTATGACAAATGATCTAAGAAAAGAGCATTAAATATGCTAAAAAGATTTTTATTATCCTAAATTTTCCTGAATCTTGCAGCTGTTATGTGTAAAATGGAAGACACAGCAGTGTGGACTCACCGATAGCATCCTTGAGGTACTTATGTCCAATCAGTTTGAGGTACTCTTCTATGGCTTTGGTGGCCAGAGTGTTCTCTCTGAATATAAGGTGTTCTCGGTCGATAAATCTGTCTACCTCACACATTGCCATGTCAGACAGGAAATCCTGCAGGCACAGAACAGCAGTTAAGGATTGCTCCTCAATCAGAGCCAGTGAGTCTGAGTTTTTGGTACAGAAAGTTTGGGATAATCATAGTAAAGTAAAGCAACCATTGTCCCGTACCTTTGCCTTCCCTGTGCTTTGCAGGATGTGCACCAAAGCACAGGCCACCTCCTCTTTGCTCTTTACGCTCAGCACGGGCTCCAGCACGGCGCACAGGGTGCGGTAGTTGTTGGTGACGTACTCTGCAAACTCCTTGTACAGCTCCATGGGGAGGATGTTCATGGTTTGGAAGCGGGACTTGAGGCGAAGCGATGCGTTGATGATTTTCCCTCCTCCGACGCCGGCTCCCTTTGTGAGGACGCTAGGCTGGATGACTGGGTACCACTGCTCCACAAACTGCCGCCCGGTGATGCTTGAGATGGGGATGCTGACCAATCCTAAGTATGTGCTCTTTTCCTTAAAGATACAGAGAAATTGTGCTAAAAACACACCCAAACTAATGGAAAGATATTTACTGAATATTTTCCTCAGAAATCAAAATAGTTTAATATTTAAGGCAAGGCAAGTTTATTCATATGGCACAATTCAGTGCATGGACAATTCAAAGTGTTTTACATGAATAAAAAAATTAAATAGAAGGAAAATTAAAAGCAGGTGTTGGGATCAAATGTCGATGATGTAACTAGAACTACTCCCCTCTGAAAGCACACCCCTCCGACAGTTTTTAAAAGGAAATACTTCCTATTCAACTTCCTGTTGCCGGCAGATCATGGCTGCCTAGGCTGGACTCTAAGCGCTTCTCAGATGAAGCTACGCTAAGTAGTGATCAAATATCTTCGGAAAGGTCTGTGCTTACTGGACTGAGTCAGACCTTTCCTTGCAATTCAGGAGCTGAACATAATGTTTTTGTTTTTCTGCAATTCAAACCGGGTGTTTCCTAAAACCACCTGCTGCATCAGCCTCCCTGTAAAGTTTGTTCTTATTATTGCATTGAATAAATCTTAATGCTTAAGCTGCTGTTGGATAAAAGGACTGGACCGAAGACGGGGCCTGCAGAAAACCAAGAAAAAGGCAAAGGCCTTCACTCCACCGGGCCAAAACAGTAACATCCATCCTTCCCCCTTTCTGTCTGATGCTCAATAACTGCTCCGCTTGGGAGAACTAGGTAGAATAGATAGTGATGTTTGTGTTTTATTTGAATAAACTTTCTGATTCAACCGCTGATGGTTTCAAGAGTTTTAACAGAATGCTAATAATCACTGAACAGACTGAACGAGCAATGCGGTTCTGAACACACTGTTACATTGGACTGGCTAGCATCGTTAGCTCCAGCTACCTAATGCCGGACATGTGGTGGAAGCCACATTGTGAACTTTAACCTTTTTTTTTATCTGAATCTGCCAAGCCCAGACCCCCCGGGGCCAGCTAAGCTAACCCATTCTCTTATTCACCTTTCACCCTAAAACCAAATGAAACTGCACTGTTTTGACTGCATTTAACATCCCTGCATGGGGTTTATTCACATTTATCTGCTGCTATTTTGAAGTACACTTTCAATGCATTAACCCCTGAAACTTTAACATTGCTCAGAGACCTTTAAATGGACTCTTTANGTGTTTCCTAAAACCACCTGCTGCATCAGCCTCCCTGTAAAGTTTGTTCTTATTATTGCATTGAATAAATCTTAATGCTTAAGCTGCTGTTGGATGAAAGAACTGGACCGAAGACGGAGCCTGCAGAAAACCAAGAAAAAGGCAAAGGCCTTCACTCCACCGGGCCAAAACAGTAACATCCATCCTTCCCCCTTTCTGTCTGATGCTCAATAACTGCTCCGCTTGGGAGAACTAGGTAGAATAGATAGTGATGTTTGTGTTTTATTTGAATAAACTTTCTGATTCAACCGCTGATGGTTTCAAGAGTTTTAACAGAATGCTAATAATCACTGAACAGACTGAACGAGCAATGCGGTTCTGAACACACTGTTACATTGGACTGGCTAGCATCGTTAGCTCCAGCTACCTAATGCCGGACATGTGGTGGAAGCCACATTGTGAACTTTAACCTTTTTTTTTATCTGAATCTGCCAAGCCCAGACCCCCCGGGGCCAGCTAAGCTAACCCATTCTCTTATTCACCTTTCACCCTAAAACCAAATGAAACTGCACTGTTTTGACTGCATTTAACATCCCTGCATGGGGTTTATTCACATTTATCTGCTGCTATTTTGAAGTACACTTTCAATGCATTAACCCCTGAAACTTTAACATTGCTCAGAGACCTTTAAATGGACTCTTTAACCCCTCTTCTCCTTTTATTTGTGCTTATTTCCAGTAGTGTTTAGTGCCTACGTAGTTATTAAAAATAATACTGTGTGATTAGTAGCTAATAAAGGTACCGTTGTATTAAATCCGGGGTCTTTTGTGTTTATTTTACGCAATGAACGATTTATCACTCATGCTGGATTCAGTCTTCTTTCAGTAGTATCTGAATGAACAAACAGATTTATTTGGTTGATGATTAATAAATCTGCTGATAGCCACAGTCTGAATTACTAAATTGTTGAGATAACTGGATTTCCATGATACAGCAATACAGTTATGCACAAGGAAACTTTAATTAATCCTATTTCTATGTTTTTTGAGAGATTACTTATTAATTCTTCTTCAATATTAGCTAAGGTGGAATAATAATTTTGTACCTGTTTTTTTTTTTTTTAGTTGCATTATAAATAAAGTTGGATTTAACTCATTTTTGTGATGGCCAGTTTCTGCACTAATCAGTAGAAGTAGAAGACTCATCCACTTTTTAGGAAGACAGGCAGACTTTGAGGACTGCAAGATTAGAAACTATTGCAAGAGGATGTTTGCACCCCCCCCAAAAAAAAAACAAACAAAAAAGAAACTGTGATTGTAATATTAAAGAAATACAACCAAAAACAACCACACAAAGGCTTACATCAGAGGTAGTTTTGTCATCTAGGAGTCTCTGTAAATTCTGTCGGTTTGCAGTAAAGCAATCAAAGCATATTTCTAGTCAGATGCAAATCAAAGATCCACCTGTCCCATTCTGGGTTGTTGGACTCTTGTTGTGTTTGAGTTTTATATTTGGCCATTTGAATCATGATGCATCTGCTTGTGTTCTATTTGGAATGACTTCCTGGACCAAAGTGTAGATTCTTGGAAGCTGAAAAACAATCCTGCCTCTCTGTTCAAAGATGGTTTTTCTCTTTTGTCAAAGATGGCCTCCTTCGTCCCTCTTCCAAGCCATCTGTCCCTGTGATAGAAAATCTGAACATTTTGGTCATCAAAGGATACATATTTTCACCTTCCAAGAATCTACAGTTCGGTCTTGGAACTCATTTCAAAGAAATAAAATAAGCACATTCCCCATGATTTAAATGGCCAAACACAAAACACAAAATTTGCACTTGAGTAAGGAATGTGTTTAGAAGGATGGGCTTCCTGCAGTTAAAATCTATAGATCTTTGCGACATAGTTTAATAATGTTGGAAGCAACCAGAGGTGGAAAGTAGCAAAATACATTTACTCAAGTTACTGTATTGAGTAGTTTTTTGTGTATTTTGTATTTTTCAAGTAGTTTTTAAAATCGGTAATTTAAATTTTACTTGATTACGTTTAAAGGGAAATATTGTATTTCGTTACATTACAAATCCCATCCGTTTCTGAGTAAAAAAAAAACTTTGGAAAACCAAAAGGAAGACAAAAAATCGTGCCCGGAAGCACTACAGTGAGTGACGTGATCAGCATGTAGATCTAGGCTACCACCAGGCGCCAAGTCTGTCTGTAGGAGATTGGGAACGAGATGGAGGTGGATCAGGAGAGCGAC